CCCCAAAACCCCAAAACCCCAAAACCCCAAAACCCCAAAACCCCTTTTGTCGTTATTTATTTTGAATTTAAATAGATTTAAATTTAAATGGAAAAAGCCTTGATTCCCAAAGTCAGGAGTAGCATCGATTTTACGAAAAGAAATCATAAAGAACGCTTAACTTTAAAAGAAAGACTTGAAATGCCAGATCAAATCAGACTGGCTACCGCTCAAGAGCCATATCTTGAGAGTCCGACTGGTCTTGATAATTTAATGGGAGGCTTAATGCGAAATTCCGAGAAAGTCAATGCTAAAAGTGTAAAATAATGTTTCAAACAATAATTCGAACAAACACCTGACACATCTTGGTGATGATCCATCGATCTGTAGCTTATTGCTTGACTCAAACAGAGATACTGATCTTGATACCAATAAGCTTAGATCAAACCTTAAAAAGCACCTATACGAACGTGAAAACAAGCTGGTCAAATCTCAAAATCAAAATATTCAAGTTTTAAATGATTCAAATGATCAAAATGGTTTCCAAATGTCTGTTGCCAAAGAAGAGCAAGAATTTTCTCTCAGCAAAAAGCATTATAAGACCAGACAACAATTACAAGAGTTTCGTGAAAAGTTTATAAAAGATAGATACAAAGATGAAGAAAGCTCCTGCACAGATTTTTCAGCAGAGAAACCACCTGAACGGCCTCACAAGGAAACTCTTGATGAGGAACCCACTTTTGGAGAAATCCAAGGCTGAAATACACTAGATTTAGATCAAAAAGGTAAATCTTTAGTAATAATCATAGAAAATAAACTAGCAGATACACCTTGTGTCCCAACTCAAATTGATATTCTAAGAGGTCCTCTCGCAGAACGATATGAAGACAACATTCTTAACATTAAGCATACACCTAAAAATAACAAAAGCATCGGCCATGCTTCCCAAAAGTCCAAAAATAATGAAGACTTTGACAATTTGCAAAAATCTGAAGAGAAAAGAAAAGAGGATAGAATCCAAGTTAAATATCTGTAAAGTTCATGTGTCACCTTTCTTAGGAGTGAAGAAAGGAACCCTAGCAATACTCATAATTTCCGAAACACTTTGACTCAATTTGCCCAATCAAATTATGAAGCTCAAACTATACAAGTTTCGAATCCTTTTGATAAAAACTGTACATCAAAATTGAACAAGTCGCTAGAGAATCTGAGAAAATTTAATACAAATTATAGCAATGCTCCAAACTCTATTTACTCAACTATTAAAAGGAGTGTGAGGAAGAAAGAATTTTAGCTCAGAGTAAGAAATACTACAACATTTTAATAGGTATAAACCCAGCCCAATACACAAATCAATTGAAAGACCTACTTTGAATGAGCAGACTCATCTCTATCAGTTGAAACAGAGCTCTAATCATGAACCAAGACCAGGATTAGGCATTAGAATGGCCTCTGATTATAATTTTACTGATTTTCAGACAAAAACAGGACCTCAGAACAACCTCCCCAGCAGAAAGGCAAGCGAGTATTATAAAAGGCAGTATACAAGCTTAGATAAAATAGCCAAAAATCGTAATAATGATTATAAAGGGACCATAGATCCCTATCCAAGAATCAAAGTCCAGCAAACTGCTACTCAAAAACCCCTATATGATACAGAAACATCTCAAGAACTTGAGTTGGACATTGGAGGAGCTGCTCAGATATGGAAAGACTTGAAATCCTCTCCTAATCCCTTAATGACCCAAAAAGACACCAATCAAGCCCAATGCCAAAGATGAGCCACCCTTGAAGATAAGGTCCGAGCCCTCACTCTCCAACTTCAGGATGCTACTATCCCCCCTTCTAAAGGTAAACCTCCTCTCTCCAAACAAATTTAGCCCATAACGGTGAAAATTCCCCCAAAAGCCCAAAACTACCCAAAATCCACTTTGAAAAACAACTAGAAAAGCTTCAAGAAAAGTACGAGCTCGAACTCACGAAGAAAACCATAAATTTCAACACAAAAATGGAACTAAAAGACCAAGAATGGAGCCAAATCCTACTACAAACTAAACAAAAATGAGAAAATAAAGTTAAAGAGATCTTAGATTATGTAAGCGGATTTGAAATAATTTAGAAGTGAAGTCAGCAGAATAAACTTGTACATACCAGAATGCCAAGAGAGCTCCTCTCTCCAGGAACAAGGGAGAACTCTGAGAGAAACGCAAGGTTTAGAGAAGAGCTTTTAGAGGAAATAGCTGACCTGAAGGAAGCTAAAAAGGACCTTATTGGGGAAAATCACTTACTTAAGTCTAAAATTTCCCGACTTGAACAAAAAGTCCTGTCTTACAAGCAGCAGAGGATTAGTAAGAATTATGATGAAGAGCCTACAAGCATGATATTTAGCAACACTTTGAATTGTAAATTGTCTGGCTGATGTTTCTTATAGTTGCAGTGAAGAAAAAGCCCAAAAGCATGGAGAAGCATTGAAAAACTGTCCTTGAAAAATATGACATGGTTCGAAAAGAGAAGCAAGAAAAGCAGTTGCTTCATAATAAGCGAAGGATAAAAGAAATCATGCTTGAGTCTGATAACTCCTTTAGTTATTGCAATCCTCCTCAGTATACAGAAGGTAAGTTTCCTTAATTGATCAATAGAGTCTGAGGAAGAGGATAGACCTCAAGAAAACCCTGGTCCAGACAGTCAACTTTATGAAAGAATCAGAAAGCTAGAAGAAATCATTCTCAAAAAGAAAAAGCAAAAGTATTAAGGCTTCAATATTCACTCTGAATAATGGGGTTTTGGGGTTTTGGGGTTTTGGGGTTTTGGGG